ATCCCTTAAATCCATCACAGGCTCCAGCCCCTCAGGGATTCACACGCAAATGACGAGATTGCCTGTTGATGAGTTTGGCTGGGACACAGCCAAGCGTGATGCAGTTTCCAGCACTGCGGGAGGCCTCTGTTCATGCCATTTACTCTGTCTCCTAAATCTCTCTTCTATGTGGACAGAACTTGTTGTGTTAAAACAGGCATGGGAGGTGCCTCGGGTTGCCAAGTCCTTATTGCATGTAGAGCGGGGGACTCCAGCGCTGCTCTGGGAGTCCGTGCATGCGCGCGCCACAATTACATCACACGGAAGTGACGCAACCACGTCAGGCACTCTGGGGGCGGGGGCACAATCATCCGAGGGAAAACCATCGAGTTTTCCCTCGGATGACCGCGGCCCCGCCCCCAACACACCCGACACAACTGCATCACTTCCGGGTGACGTGCTGACTCCGGGCATGTGCGTATTTGGGGGTGGGGTTCCCCCCAGGGCCCGATCCGCCGCCGGCGGGTAATGGGCCTCTCGGGCGGGGGTTTCCCCACCCCCCCCGGGGGGACTTGGCAAGCCTAGAGGTGCCCATTTGGTATCTCAAGTCCAGGTCAGCCCTGTTGTGTCTCAGGACTGGCACAAGAGAGCTTCCACCTTCTCTGGGCATTAGCACTCTGACCCTAACAAGAGTGAACTGCAGCTGGCTCCTCTTGAGCTGTTTCCAGCCTTGCTTCTCTGTCCTGGGGACTGGTCCCCATACCCCAAAATCCCTAGAGGATGCATTTAAAAAAAAGGTTTTCTTTTGACAAAGAATCTTAACCCCCACAGTTGACACATTTACCTCAACTTTCTTCCAGATAACCAAACAGCACTCCATGTCCAGTTACAGCTGTGGCAGAATGGGTCTGCTGGCTAGTTCCACCCTGCCCTCAAAAGTTTTTCTCAACACCTTAGAGAGGCTTTTCTTTCTCTCTGGTAACTTGCCACCATCTCCTGACCTTTGTAGGAATTGCCCGCTGGGAGGGTCAGTACTCCCAGTTTCCCTTCCTTCTGTGTCTCCTGCTGCCCAGCACTTGGTCACCACAGGGACAGTTTGTGGCCTTGTGCGCCCCTGGAGGAATAGCCACTTGTTCACTGACTGCCTTTTCCCTGGTGTTCCTTTTAAAATAGCGTGGAGGTCTATGCGGTACAGAGAACTACTACCAGCACCCAAAGTTATAAAGTATTTATTAAAAAGAAAATTTTCACAAGCATACTTTTAGCACAGCACCAGATCGATCAAGCTAAGTAATTCAAAAGAAATGGGTGAAACACAATTCCTGTCTCCTATCATATGTTAAAATATAGGACAGACTTCTTAGCTTAGGAAGTTACAGATCTGTACAGAGTGACCAATACCTTGAAGCTTCCTTCAGCTCTTCAGGCCAACACATGGCTAATGGCCACCTTCTCTAGACCTCAGTTAAGAGTTCTGTCTGCTCTGATGGACTCAGCACAAAAGAGAGCTCCTCCTTGCTCCAAGGAATTTTTTTTATCATATCTGTTTCTCCACCCACTGACCAGGTTGGGCTGGATCAAAAAAGGATGCTTTTCCTGAAGCCTCCAGAAACTTACTTCCTGAAGTCTGTCTAGTATTCAATTCCTCCAAATTTCTGTTCCCTGCTTGACCGGGGGTGGGGGAGCTTGACCATCCCATTGTCTAGACCTATTAGCATTTGTATGAAGGTGGACTGAGGTAAGTCTGAAAAGCAATTGAATTGACTTCCCCTCTTTCTGCCTGTTCTTTGTCCAGGGAGGGGGGAAAACCTTTAAAGCTCAGAGTGAAGGTTTTGCTCATTTCAAATCTCCAAAGGAGAAAAAATGCATTTCTTCACACTGGTCACTATTGTCTATGGAGACTGGCAGCAGCTCTCCAGGATCTCTTGGTACTGGCAGAAGGGTGTTTCTCTGTTTAGGACTGTTAGAAAGGAGGTTCCTTCTAAGCCACAAAATCTCATGGTCGCTTCCTTCCTTTGCCCACGGTTCTCAATGTTTCTCTTTACCATTATTCTTTTTCCTGCTCTGTATGCCAACATCCCTAGCACTGAGCCATGGCAAGAACACAAACACATGAAACACTCTGCCTTGGTAGCATTTGTCCACAAGCCTGTCTCAATCAAAGGACACTGTGTTTGGGAAAAGGCTCCTGATGGCGTCTTAAACTATTGAAAGAGGGGGGGGGGGTTGCCAGTTTTGTGGAGGGGAGTCCATGCCCTTGACCTGTCTTTCCTTAAACTGACTTAAGGAGAGGGTCTTAAAAAGTTAACTAGGAAGTCCCATCAAAATGCAATAGATCTACAATAATGGCCATGAAAGCACTTTTGAATGTGTATCGATTTGGGAGGGGAATAAACAAATGGACCAAGCTTAAACTCTATGCCGACGATAAACCTTAAGTTTTTTTTTTAATTGGAAAATTGATTTTAAATCGAAGTCCCTCTAAAAAGTAATCAATTTTGCCTTTTCTTTTTTAAAAAAGAAAAGTAAAAGCCTTTCTGAGTCATGCCGTCCAAGACAGATGAACGGGAGGAATGAAATAAATGGGGCATTGGCAGCATCTGCAGCTGGCAAGCCCTGCCACTTACAAATCGCCTTAAGTTTAGCGTTAGTACATGTCTCCCTCCAGACTTCCATACTAGTAAATTAGG